ATTCATAAGCACATATTAAGGGGGGCCTCTCATAAATCATTGAACCCAAAAGCTTAAATATTTATATCCTTTTGTAAGCTTTAATCAAGTTGTCATCAATCACCAAAAAGGGGGAGATTGAAAGTGCATCTAGCCCTTTAGTGGGTTTTGGATGATTTAATGACAACGTAATTAAAGGTCTATCCCGTTTGCTAAGTGTGGACAGGTAATAGGTTATCTCACAGGTATTTAATGAAAGCCAAAATGATGTATTGTTGAAAATAATCTAGTTCAAACACAAGACAACAATGCAAATGTAATTCATGCAAGGCTTATTCATTGTGGGATTTCGATGACTCATGAGAGCAAGCACATTGAAAAATAATTAATGGGACATGAGAGATTGCATATGGATTGGTCTCACCTTTTGAAGCTTGCTAAGTGAAAGACAAGTATACAAATGAGTATAATGAATGATTCGACACCAAGTGTGACTAGATGGCTTGAGATGGTGAAGATAGCATGGAAAGGCTTCGAGGTACTAAGCAGGGGTGAAGGGCAAGCGACGGCTTGGCGACTGAGGAACCTAGCTAAGGTGAAGAAGGAAGTACTTGCATTTAGTCGAGGCACTGATCAAACCATATTGGTCATATTGAAGTGGAGGATCAAATCCTAGATGAATTAATGAAAGAGTGACTTGATACATTTGAAGCCAACTCACATTTGTTGAATGGAATAAAGTCAACATGCTCAAGATGGTTATGCTCAAGGAGAAAATCAAATTGACATGACTGACACCCTCACTTTGTGAAGATTGAAAAGCTACGACACTCGGTTCAAAGGAAATGAACTCAAGTGGTTCAAACTCCGTTTTCATTTAACCTTGAGTAAATAGGTATGCCGTACTATTAAGAGGGATGCATCATGTTGATAGACAATCATTCATAAAGTGCTCAAGCTAACCCATGTGAGTTTTGAGTGTTTGAGTGACAAAAGAGCTAACTTAGGTGTTGCTGGTCTGGCAATACCGGGCGTGTTCGGTATTTGCCCAACCTCAACAATTTCCTCAGTTTTCTCAAGTTGGCTCGTCAGGAGTTCCGACAATCATCGGGAGTTTCGATGCCTCGCGCTTCACTAACAAAGTTACCGTTGGGGCTGTATGGCCAAGGATACCAGACGTGTCCGGTATTACCCAACGGTCACATGATGACTAATTTTTCAAAGGGGCTATAAATACCCCTTAGCCTCCACCTTTGGGCTGCTAATTCTGCTGACTCTCTCACACATTTCTGAGCCTTGAGAACACTCTATAACCCTCTCTTAGTGAGTGATTGATTCAAACTTACAAAATCCATCTTGTGGGTTGAGTGAGATTCAAAATTGAGAGCAAGCCACCCTTGAGCACTTGTGCATATTGTTGATCTCATGATTTGCATTTGTTACTCTTGGACTCTTCGATTCTAAATGGCTAGGCATCATCGGAGAGCACCCAAGAGCTTGTGGTGTGCCTCGGGAAGTTTGTAACGGTTTGATTCCACCACCACAAGGGAAGGAATCAAGCTAGTGGAAGGAGAAAAAAGGAGTTGGAAAAGACTCCGGCTAGAGTGGCCTTCATGGTCCTCTAGAGCTATCCTTCGCTGGGTCACTCGCAGCCCCCTCAACGGAGAATAGGACTCAACAGAGCCCGAACTTCGGTAAAACAAATATCGTCTCGATCTCTTTCTACTTTTGGTATTTGTGATCTTTGTGTGTTGTTTGAGCTTGTCAATAGGTTACCAGTGGTGGTCTAGAACTTGGATTGAAAAGAGAAATCAATCGAAGCAAGTTGGGAGCTGGCCGAGCAAACCCGTGAATACCGGACGTTGCACTAATCTTTGTGTTGCAGGGTTGTAGCTCCTAGATACATTTTATATACCTTGTATTCTCTGATGGCTTACTCGTGAGGGGTTTATTTCTCTCATTTGGAGTTTTCAAGTAATTGGAAACTCCAACACTAATCGTTTCCGTATTTTGAAGGGTTGAATTTTTAGAAACACCTATTCACCCCCCCCTCTAGACGGCATCCTCGGTCCTTTCAACATGTCATCAAAAAAGAAAGAAAACTCACGAGCTGTTAGACTCGAGCATGCTACAACTTCTATTTCTGCTTCTATCGAATCCCTTCCAAGCATGCTACAACTTTTGCTTCCTCAACATCCCTGCAATGTTACAACATTATTCAGTTATATATTTACAAGCATGTACATATAAAACTGCCAACAACACCCAAGGATACACCGAATCATATTAAAGGTAAAATATGTCTAGTGTACGCTAGAATTTGTTTGCAATCCATAATTGTAGAAAAGAAAATTCCAAGATGCCATTTAAAACACTAACAAATTATCCCATCACACACTCCGTGATCCAATAATTAATTGATATCACTATCAGAGAAAAATTAATTGATATACCATAAAAATCAATCTACCAACAAGAGTCAAGTCTAGCAAAAATATGGTTAATTGATATGCATAAGGTGGTTCAGGTGGACTTCAAGCTCAAATTGGAAGAGCCCTCCTAAAATACTGTTCACATGTCTAATATTTATATGCATGAGGTTTATGCTACGATGAACAGCTGGGGAATCAGCTTTGAGAAGCACATTGACGCAATAAGAACAAGTGAGGAGAGACCATAACCCTTCAGAATCTCTGACGGTCGAAATCCACCTAACCATATAAAACACCTCTCGACAGGGTCTTCCACATTCCTGACAGCACGTGAAAAGCGTCTGCCTTGGCTGCTACACCCTTAGGCAAGCTTCATAGTAATGTGCCATGATGCCTGTGCTAACGCTACGGTAAAACAGAAAACAAGATAAAATTTTATTAAAAATGTTGTTAGTCTCTGTGAGCGAACCCCACTCGTTAGCCTCACGGCCTGCTTCTTCTTCCTCTCGCAGCAGCTATTTCTCTTGCCTGGAGCTCGCCGGTGGCCGGGAAGGTGAGGACAAGGCCGCGGCAGAGCTCGCATCCACACCTGAGCACTGGCGTTGGAGCCCGCCTGCGCCCACAAGGCCACGCACCCTCCATGCGCATTGCCCCTGCTCTCTTTGCTTCCTTCACGGACTCCAAAACAAAATATAAAAAAAGCATTACAACAATATGTAGATAAACTCTTTTGCTAAACTTCTCTGCATCTCTAAATAGGCAATTTTTCATAGTAGATAATTAGTAAAACAGAACTAATCACCTGGCTGAAAGAAGTGATGAACTCTAATGTGAATGACTGAAAATCAAAACAAACCTTTTTGAGCTGAAGGATCACCACTTCACCCGCCTGAGAGCAGCCAGCCGCATGCCTTCCAAACATGCTATTGCATTTGTTTCCTCCGATCCCCACAATGGAACAAAACGTGCTTCACTATTAGAAATCTCATCTGCAACACATTTTTTCTGACACGCCAAATACATCAAATGAGCAAGAGTAAGGTTGAATGACCTCGATTACATACTATCGATGATCAGAAGTAGCCATCCTGGGCCTGACTAACATATGTCCACGTTAGGTAGAGCCCAATACTATGTCATGCTTGTTGTAGAGCAACAACATGAGGACACATGATATTTTCATGGAATGAAACAATTTTCTTTTTGCTGGCCACATAATTCACAAGGTGCCATATTGCTGAAGACGACGATAACATTTGTCAGCTCCTGTCGATAGACCATTTTTTTACTATGCTTCCTGATCATACATATATTGCAAGTGAAAGACCACCTAAAAATTTTTACCTATTTGAAATGATACTTTCATTGCCTCAAATAAAGCCTTACAGTAGGGGCATGCCCCTCCTGTTTTCCCCCCCAAAAAATAAAGCCACAGATAACAATGATACATTTCTTGGTTTCCATCACTTGATATGCCAAAGATGAGAGCTCAATCAGGAATAATAGCAAACTCACTAACCATGACAAAGATCTTAAAAACTAGGGGATCCAAACATCCCACCAGTTTTTGCTCAGAATCCAGATTTTAGAAATTAGAGACAAAAACTATTTTTTAAGAATCCGAAACTGATCCAAACAGGCCCTTAAAAGATTTATAATGTCTAAAGATCAAGGAGTAAATATAACATACCTTAAAGTTAAACTTTAAAATAAATGCTTGTTTAGTAAATGACTTTTTAAATTTGACAATAAAGTGTACCCTCTCAAAAAAAATTGACAATAAAGAAAAGATTTGGCAAAACTTGTGAGAGGTTCAAATTAAATCGGATGAGTTACATTTTGGAAAGATCTATTATTAAAAAACACAAACCAGTTTTTAGCTTGTGGGACTTCCAAAATAAAAAGGTGGGCCCCAAACTAGATTATGGAAAGACACCTTGTGCAGTTCCCTAATAACCTCTAAAATACTGTTGTCATGAACTGCCATTACGGAGTGCAAAACCGTAATGGGACAAACGTCGATGAATGCCTCTTTCCGTAGAGCTTTAGTGGATAACAAGATCACTTATTGTTATTGGCATAACATAGAGCTAGAAAATCTCATATTCAATTATTGAATGAGAAAGATACTTTTACTTGGGACTTACATAAACATGGCCAATTCTCAGTTCCTTTCTCTCAGAAATCCATTTGGAAGCTGAAAAATCCACTTAAAATTACACAACTGAATTTCCTACGCAAGGCTGAACTCTGAAGGGATTAGGAACAGTTTGATGAAGACTATTAGATCATTTGCCATTCACAGACTTCTTTAGGGAACGAAGAACACTCCACATTATAGTTGAAACAAAGAACAAAACTACTCCAGTAATAATTGCATATTTCAGGCCAAGATTCATAAGCAAGTTCACCAGCAGCCCTGCAAGGACAACTCCCACAAAATTTGCTGTAAAACCTGACTAAAATGGCATGCCTAAAACAGATGAAATGAAGGCCCCTGTCCATGCTCCTGTGAATGGAACGGCAACAAACAACATCAAGCCGAGCCATTGGAATTCCTCAACAGGAGCAGCCTTCCGTCGTGCCCGCTCAAAGAGGAGGTCCATAATTCGGGTTGCAGACGCGCTTTTCCGAGACAGAAATTTCGCAAGTTTTTTCAGGTAGAGGATGATAAATGGTACAGGCACCATGTTCCTGGGAAAGACACAAGAGAAAATCAAAATCTGTTTATTGAACTGCAGAAACTCAACTGTGTATTTTGTAGTAATTGAGACTTGTGAACTGTGACAGCAGGCAGTTTTCCTCTTGGACGTGTTACTAAATTGAGCAAAAACATCACTGCAGTGTCAGAGTTTTCGCTTACAAGCATGTAAGGACTAATCAGTCCAATGATTAATAAACTGCAGATTAATTATCTTTAACTTGCTAGTATTCACTACCTTGTTTCCCTGCTCCTTCATCTTAGGTTCCATTTAAAAGTATTCATGTTCCCTTTTAGGAGGTGCAAATTTAATTGGGAAATCAAATATTGGCATATTCAAATTTCAGACTTCCAAAGCATATACTGGGCATACCTAAAGATGATTGGTAAGCTGTTCCAGACGAACTTTGGTTACCTTTTCTGTTAAAACACTGAATATAATGATCCAGCATATATTATCTCAGTTCACATGTCATTTAATTATCATTGTGCAGCATATCCTACAAAGTCCAGACTTCTTATCACTTATTTGACTATGTACAGCTCAATGTCCAGCCCAGGTAAGCTACAAGGTAGGAGATGCTGATCTATCACATATTTTCATATTTGGATTTGTTAAACTATCTGGCAGATCATACCATCTGAATTTCATTGAGTTAGCTAATTTAATTATGGATCGTAGTTTCTGAAATAGCATCTATGCAACAGTTTGGGTTAGTATTATTACACAATATTTGGGGTGCAATCCCTGCCTGCTGAGATATCAGCAATTCATCAAACATATATATAGGGCAAGTGCTAGTAGAACTATCATTTAACCAAAAGAGACGACAAGACCAGAGACGAAGGGGATTATTAAACAATACAAACCCAAGAACGGATAGGATGGTGAGGCGGACTGGATGGAGCCGCAACCAGTACCCAACGGGGATCGCCCCCCGCAGCTCGATCACCGGCAGCGTCGCGAGTGCGAACACGACGGCATCCTCGGGCCATCCGAGCCTCCGCAGAGACTCCGCCACACGCAGCCCGAATCCTGACGCCTTGATCGAGTCCTCCGCCGCCGCCCGCGCCGCGCCGCAGCCGAGCGCGGCGGCTGCAGCGCAGCAGCCAAGCGCGAGCAGCGCCACCCGCTTCAGAACATCCCAATCGGGCGCCTTCCGCTCCGTGGCCTCCGCCTTCACACCACCACCTAATGCCGCCGCCGCACACGGCGCCCTCGGTACGGTGGCTCCGGCACAAGAATCGCGGGGAACGGAGGCCCGGAGAGGAGAAGCGGGCGCCCGCAGGCGCAGGGCGGGAGGCGGACTCGCCCGTGGATGTGACGGGACAAGAGGGGCCCATCTCTGTGACGTCAGCGGGGGCGGGGGAGGCCGCCGCTGCGGCGAAAACCGAGGCCGTCACGGTGTTGGTGCGAAACGTGGGCAATAAATACTTAATCACATATGATTTATATTGGTTCAGGCAACAGCCTCTACGTCTTGTTGAGATCGGTCGAGGACTTTATTCTTAAGGCCAGATGCTCAAAGATTGCTGTGGGGTTACAAACGAGTAAGAAATGAAAATGGGGTGTTAGAGGCCTGGTCGGACTCTGAGCCGAGTGGAAGAGAGTGACGGATGCTCAAACGTGCGCTAAGTATCGGAGCGTATGCTCTGTATGTCCGAGCTTATCAGCTGTTGAGAGTGTGTAGACTGTGTAGCTGTCAAGCTCTAGAGACGTTGTGCTCGAGTCTTCGAGTCTTTGGGGGTTTGAAGCTTCTGTCCTCCTGATAGGAGAAAGAGCATCTCCTTTTATAGATGAAGCGAATAACCTTATAAGTCAGAGAGAAAGAGAGAGTTCATACGGACGCTGCCTAGTCTTGTTGTCCACGTCATCGGGTACGGGATGGCTGTCGACGTCCATAATACTGTTTATGTTCAGACGCGTTTAGCAGGCTCTATCATGTTCGCCTGGTACGGCAAACGACGACGCCCACAATACTGTTTATGCTCTGACGCGTCTGGCAGGCTCTACCGTGTTCGCCTGACATGCCCCGATGGCACCGTCCTACAGATGCGCAGAGCATAGCACAGTACGGTACTCAGTATTACGGTTGACTTGAACGTCTTTCCTTATCTGCCCCGCCTGCTCCCCGGGCCCATATCGAGCGGGCGTCCCCTGTCGGTCGTTCCTAGTCGTCCCTGACCGTGTTGGTCGGAAAAGAGCAACGAGCAGAGGTCCTACCGTATTCTCGGTAGGAGAAAGGGGGTCGGAGTCGAACTGCGGTCCCACCACGGTCAGGCCTTCCGGTCGCACCTCCGATCAGATCTCCTGGCCGGGGGTGCCGGTCGAAGACCGGATCGTAATCTTGACCTGTTAATGTGTATTTGGGCCAGCCTAGGCAAGTGTTGTCGCTGCACCGCCTGTTGAACCAAGTTTTACAGAGAAACAGACCCATCGGGGACCCCGGGTCTCTGAACGGAGGGCATTAGGATCCCCTCGTGGATCGGATAGAGCTTGGACTCTAGGAGCTTTGAATCGATCGATTCCGGCGAAGGTTACGAGGTAGTGACTGACGAGTCGTTGCCTCGTTGGAGGAGAGACCGAGGCAGCTCGCGACCTCGCGCCATCGGAGGGGACTCGACTATCCCGCGTGGCGGCATGAGCCGAAACCCGGGGCTCTGCCGCTCTGGTTTGTGACGCTGAGAGGTGGGGCAGGTGGGGTTGGAAAAACAATGGGACCACCTGTCTGTCAAAACTCGCATGGAACATTCGAAAGTCACTTCATTGATACAGTAGAGAATTACACCCGCATGATGTGCGAGTGCGAAGCTGACCATGAATCATGGTGAAAATACATAAAACGTGAGAAATTCGTCAGTGGAAGTTGTTCAAATCTCACCACGAATCATGGAACCAAAATCTGCAGCACGACATATCTCCATCCATTACTGAAACTTTGCAGCAACTCATGACACCCTGTTTGCTTGATCGTATCAGTCATATTTATCAGCCATGATATAACGTTTTTCTCTTAAAAAAACAGCATCAGCCAGCTTATAAGCCACGTAAACAACGAACAGGGTGACATGATGCATTCCTTGTAAACAGAACACGCAGACTGACACATTCACATCCAAGTTTCAGAAAGTCTTATTGACCCAGACACGTCTACCATCATTTTCACATAGTTTTTTTGCATTCAGAGAAGGGAAAAATTTCAGCACCCCGTCACAGGCGAACCGCTGGAGTCGAGAAACCAGAAACCAGTAACAAGATGGGATTTATGCACTGCTAAGTTAGGATGAGGAAGATGACGTGAACATCCGGATCTTTCTCTCAAGCTCGTCCTTCTTGGCCCCAATCACACGGCTTACCTCCTTCCCATCCTTGACTAGTACGAACGTTGGCATCGCCTCTACCTTCCATGTCCTTGCGACCTCCTGCAAAATTCAAAGGTTTGACAAGTTCGAAAGATCCAGTGCTGAATATGTAAATTGCCGTCACGTGTCGGAGCCTTGTACAGGAAATTTTAAGGCTGTCTGCATCTGTATGAATCAATTGTTTTTCTGCTCCTGGGTGAGGAGCAGAGTGTGTTTCTAAATATGTTCACAAAGCATAATCACTACACAGAACATATACAAAAGAAAATTCCAAATATTGCCTTCTTCCTTTTTGGCAGGGGTGGCTTGGGATATAGAGATCTACATCTTTTCAATTTAGCGATGCTCGCAAGACAGGGTTGGCGCCTTCTTCTAAATCCAGACTCTCTATGCGCTCAGGTTCTGAGAGCTAAATATTTTCCTGATGGCGACCTTCTGTCAGTAGTAGAGAAGCCTGGAATTTCATATTCATGGAGAAGTATTGTTCGGGGGGTGCAAGCACTAAAAGATGGGCTGATATGGAGGGTCGGAGATGGCACTCAGATTAATATATGGACAGATCCCTGGATCCCACATGGTGTTACTAGAAGACCCTGTACACCTAGGGGGCAAACAATTTTAAACAAGGTCTCTGATCTTATTGATCCGATGTCTGGTGATTGGGATAGAAGCTTGGTAAATGACGTTTTCTGGGAAGAAGATGCAAAATATATTCTATCTATTCCGTTGAAAAGTGGAATGGAGGATTCTTTGGCCTGGCATTTTGATTCGAAAGGAGAATTCTCAGTCAAGTCTGCATATCACGTTTTGAAAGACAATAATGATCTCTCACAAAGGAGGCAGGTGGGGGATGCTAGTGCTATCTCAGACCACACTTGTAACTTTAATTGGAAGAAAATTTGGGAGCTTCAATGCCAACCGAAGGTGAAACTTTTTTTCTGGAGACTATCTCATAACAGTCTTCCTCTACGCATGAATATTCTTCACCGAGGCATGGACATTGATACACGGTGCCCTGTATGTTTGGCGGCTAAATGAAGATGGTGGGCATTGTTTTCTGAAATGTAAATTTGTCAAGAAATGTTGGAGAGCTTTGAATTTGGAGCAGCTTCGTCTGGTTCTGATTGACCTTAACTCTGCAAAACAGGTTGCCATCAAAATTCTCTCTAGAGGAGGATAAAAAATTATTAGTGATTGATTTTCTTTGGGTTTGGTGGGATGCACGAAACAAGGCAAATGCTGGGGACAAAATTATGTCCACTGAGGAGATAGTGTATAAGGTACAGGCTATGAAATCTTTTGATAATCTTCATACACATGAGAAGGCAAATACGAAACAAAGTAGAATTTCTTGCTGGTCTCCTGCTGCAGACATCTTGAAGATTAATTTGGATGGAGCTTACTCTCAGAGAGAAAAGAAAGGTGCATGGGGCTTTATTGTGAGAGATCACAGAGGGGGCTGTTGTGATGGCCGGTGCAGGAAGAATTAATGTGGTGCATGATGCACTTAGTGCAGAGGCCCAAGCGTGCCTTGCAGCTCTTTATGCAACAATTGACAAAGGTATATCTCAGATCCCTTTGGAGACCGATTCATCAATTCTAGTAGAGGCTCTCCAATCCTGTTCTTATGATTTTTCTGCTAATGGTGTCCTGTTTAGAGAAGCTAAGTTCCTTATGTCTCTGAATTTTAGTCGGGCTGACATTGTCCATGTACCACGATCTTGTAATAGGGGTGCACATGATCTTGCTCATGTTGGTTTGAATTGGGACCCGGATTGATCTCATGTTTGGATCGATCCCCTCTAGAGTTTGTAACAACTTTGGGAGTTCGTGATGTAAACGAACCTCCCTAGAATTAATAAAGTACAAAACTTGCTTTCAAAAAAAAATACTGTCTTCTATTCAAGATACTTTATGACTGAATTTTTCATATTTGTAAATAAATTAAACAGTAAAATATTTGTTGTATCTCCTTGCAACTTGTTAATTCAGATGCATACAATTGGTACATCTAAAAATAGTGCCATGAAACCTCCATTCAAACCAATAGATTTTTTAGCACAATTAGCATCAACACTTCCACATAAAAAAGATCCATCACGTTCAGGTGGACGCAGATGCAATTTATCTGTGCTACGGACATGATGAAACATTTCAGGGGCCTGTAAAAGTCTAAAAGTAGTGATTTGGTTGATTTCATCCTCAAATATATTGCATCAGATGCAGATGGCCTATATCTTCTCTTTCAGGCAAGAGAGGACAAGACCATATGCACCTTGTGTCTAATTCTGCTAGTACACGGTCAGCTCATTTCCTAAGTTAGGACCCTCATTGTCAAATTCGCAACAATTACAATGATTCCCAGCCTAGTAGAACTGAGCTCGAGGGTTTCCCGAACGGCCGAACATCTAAAGAATCGAGGCCAATCGTATACAATTCCTCACTCTTCCAGTCTCCAAACTGCTGTTTGACTGCTACTTACGACAGGATCGTACCAAGACTAAATCGAAGTCTATTCCCGAACCACAATACATGATAGCTGCCGATTCCCCTCCCAAGCCACACGGAAAAAGAAGACAAGAGGATGGCATCAGGGCCGCAGGAGGCGTGGCGTACCGCGAGCTCGTCGACGTCGATCTTGACGAAGATGGCGTCGGTGAAGCGGGACGCCAGTTCCTTGAAGGCCGGCTCGATGAAGCGGCAGGGCCCGCACCAGGACGCCGAGAAGTCGATCACCATCTGCCAAGCAAATAGCGCAAGAGAACCAAACCCTCGCGTTCCTCAGATCCAGGGCACGGAAGGCCCGGGGGCAAGGCAGGCAGAGCCGAAAAAGGAAGAGGGGCTGACCAGCTTGCCGCTGCTCTTGTGGGCCGCCCACTGCTCGTCGTAGGTGGCCTTGGGTGGGCGGCCACCACGGCGCAGTTCGGGTCGTCGGCGGCCGGAGGGGGCGTCAGTAAGGTCGAGAAGAAGGAGCCCATCGCTGATCGCTCTCCCTTCCTCCGCTCTCGGTTGCCCTCCTGCCTGTCCCTCTGTCTGCTTGCTGCCTGCCTTGGTGGTTGGTTTGTACTTTGTTGTGTGTTGTGCGTTGCGTGCCTGCCGCCGGCGGGTGCTCGTGATGAGGTGAAGAAATTAGATATAGCGCCCGCGCCGCGCGGGCGCGGCTAAGGCACGGTGAAGTAGGGAATCGTGTGCTTAGGTTATGATTATGACTCCCAATCACGTTGGTCTCAGGCCTTTTGACCTTTTCGACCTCCGGCTTTTGACCTTTTCGACGAGGAGGGGTATGGATCCGAATCTACTACGGGAGCTTCATAAAAAAATAATAAAAATATATAAACAGTCTTTAAACTTGTCTCGTGGTATCACCTAGCGTCTAAACTCTCAAAATGTATTTTTTTAGGTTATCAAAACTTGTTTGGTGTATCATCAAATCCAGGACTCTCAAAATTTCAGTTTTATGTCCTCAAATTTGTCATCGTGGCCCCGTTCGCTCGGATGAATCTGGATGAATTTATGAGAGAAAATCAGCCGTGAACAATGTTTTCAGCTGTGAACAGTACTTTTTAGTACCAGCCGAACGCAGCCCGTGTATCATTTATGCCTAGACGAGCTGCAACCTAGGCTATAGCGCTCCATCTATATGCTCATCCTCTCTCCCTCTAGCTGCATCTCCATGCCCCCCCCCCGCCCCTCCCACTCTGCATTCCAATATAGTGTGGTATCGCATCATTGTAATCAACTCGGCATCCTTACCCCATGTCTTCATAATCGTCCACATCAAAGGCCACGATGTCATTAGTAGTGGTGGCAGCAAGGCCGAAGGTAGCGCTCCTTAGGTGGAGGTAGACGAAAGATTGTTTTGCCATTAAGTTTTTTTCTTCGATCAAGAATGAGGTGTGGCATCGTGACACGAAGTATATTAGATATATTTGAACCTAAATGACACACTATAGCAAATTTAAGGACCTAAATGACACACAAAGACATGTCCAGAGACCGTTCATGTATTTTACTCAAATGAGAAATCCTAAAAAAAAAGTGTGTAGTTCAATGATCATGTTAGGTGAAAAAATGATAGGAAACTCTAATTTTACCTTTCTTCTATAATTTTCAAAAACTTAAAAAAATGAACAAGAGGAGGAAAAACGAAAACATAACGGGAGGAGGGAAAACCGCAGTAGAGGGGGCACTTCAACGGATAGAGTGCAGAATGCGAGTGCAAGTTAAGAAGATTTATCAAGTGCTTATTTTTAGCTACTCGGTTCACAGATAGTGGTTCAGATGCAAAACCGTTTGGGGGCTATTTATTTTCCTTTTTACCAAAAAAAAAACATGAATTAGAGAGTTATTTTAAGGAGCTCTTGAGATGCTTAGCATAGTTTACAGTAATTTGTAAGATTTAAGAAGCGTGCTCTAAGGAGCATCATATTAAAAAAAAAGTGGGGGCTTCCTCACCGTAACACCCCTAGTGTTATGAGCTTATTTAGCACCGTGATTTAGGCCTAAAAAAATTTCCGAAACGAGTTTCTCGGGTTTTTAATTTAAAACGGACTTGTGGTGATAAGCGAATCCCGTGTGACTTAGTTTCTTGGACTCAAATAAACGCTCAAGCTAAATTACGCCGTGCGTAGAAATATTTAGGAATGTCCGATAATAATTCTAGCGAACGGTTTGTTCCGTTGGATTAAGCATGAAAATCAACTTTTATAAATAAAATAAAAATTCATTAATAAATAGAACGATATATATATACTCACGGGTTTATTTTGTTAAGCACGAACTGACGAGAAAGAGAGCGCATCAGCTTCGTTTATTTCTCTGGCGTGCAACGTACTCGCCTATCGTTGTCTCGTTCTCGTTGTGGCTCTGCATTTGCAAAGTCTACTCATCCGTCCGCATCCATGCTCTCCGGCCTTTGCGTTTACTTCTCTGCCTACCTTGCTTGTCTTCTTTGTCGCTATCTTATCCATGTCTGCTTGTCCTTGTCGCTTGTCGCTACGCTTGTGGCCTCACGTCCGGCTCCGCCGCTCCCGCGCCGCTCAAATCAAGTTTCTCTGTTGTTTACCGTGAAGCGAGCAGCATCGTTTTGGCATCCGTCCGATCCTTTTTTTCGATTCGCCGATCGGACCCACGTGCTTTCGGGCGAACTTCGCGCCAAGTCTCCTCGCTTTTTTCTTCTCTCGCCGTCTTTCTTCGCCTCTCTGCCTCTGTTCTGCTTGCTCTTCCGAAAGCGAGCGAAGATTTTGCCGAGGATAGCCCATGTGCCCCTGTGCCTCTCTCCCTCGCGTGTGTACCGAGTCGCGTTGTCCCGCGCTCGACTCCCTCCCTCTGCTTGCCACTGCCGTGCCAGCACCCGCCATGGCGAGCCCCGCAGCACCGGTGTTCCCTGCTCCGTGCTCCCTGCTGCCTCGCGCAAGCCCCCGCTTGGGCTGCGCCGTCATCGCCGGCTCCTCGAGCCCGAACCGGCTGCTCCTTCGCCGCTCCTTCCGTGCCTGCGCGCCCGAGCCTTGCTGCTGACCACGCCGTACCTGCAGCACCGGCGCCACTCTCTTCCTTTCCGCGTCGCGCGCCCTCACGCGCCGCTGTGGCCTCACGCCGAACCCGCAGCAGCCGCAGTGCCCCGCCACCGCCCCGGACGACGCCGCTCCGCCTTCGTTGCTCATCCGCCCTAACCCGCGCCGTTTCACCTCCGTGCTGGGCCGTCAAGCCCAGCCAGGTGGTCGCTGCTGGGCTCCCGTCTCAACCGTCGTCGCCGTGGCGCGCCTCGCCTTCGTCGTCGGCGATCACAGGCGGCCGAAGTCCGCCGCTGCTCGCGCTGTCTCCCCCCACCACCCGCGGGTGCGTAGGTGGCCGGGATTTGGCCGGCCGTGTCCGTCCCGTGCCTCCTCTCTGTGTGCTCTGTTTTGAGGAAGGAGAAAAGGTGAGAATGTGTTAATAGAAGCCTTTCCAGGGGTCTCGTTGTGAAATACATGACTTAAATGAATAGTGTTGATGTTCGGTGGGGAAATTAAGTAAAAGTACAGGGATCTATTCGCAATATGTGCCGCCACCGCTAGGCTCGCCCCGCGATGGGCCGACTGCTGCTTCGGTTCTTCGGGCCACGGCTCACAAGTCTGCCGATCATGTGGCTGCGTCGATTCTCCGTCGTCAGCGTCCATGGCTGGGCGTCGGGCAGCACCACTGGGCCACGACTGGTCTTTGCACTCTGGAGCCACTCGCCGTGGTCCGTCTGCTTCCCACTGGCACTCTGCAAAGGCTGGACCGCGTACGCCGTTCCGTGCTGGGCCGAGTTTGATTGACGCCGGCCCGTTTCGACTTGTAGAGCAATTTCTAAGTTAGTTTAAAAGGTAAAGTTGTAAAATCAATATAAAATAGCATAGGAGTCCAAAAATGATGAAACTAATTTTGTTAGTTTCGTAAAATCATGATCTATCTGTTAGTATATTTTGTTCACATAGTTTGATAATATTTTTGGAAGCTATATAATTAAATTAAGGAACTTAATATTGTAAAATATAACTCGTAGGAATTGTTATGATAAATTAATAATGGTACTGGATCTGAAACTTTTACAGTAGGCTCCTAGCAATATTAGGTACCCACTATATTTTTTATAGCTCAATAATAATTAGTTTGCTAGGTAGATAATGATGCTCTATTTTGAATAATGATTAAATCGATAGAACGAAATAAAGAAACAACTTGGGTTGTATAACAAAAATAATTGTGGGAAATAACGCCTTACTCGAGAACGTGGGTATGTAGCCTAAGTACGGTCATCGTTAGAACTAGCTCGTTAGCTTATAAGGCATGATCGGATTTCTAAGCGTTTTGGCTGTCGTTGATTATTTACATCTATGCATTTGCATCAATGCATATCATATAGGTACGATGATGAGTCAACAGATCAATTGAAGGATGATTGAGAATCCGAAGATGGTGTAATGGTATTCTCTACAGGAGATGATACAATGGGCTTTGTATTCAGTTGACGGTGGATGATCTGAAGATGCAGATACTAACTTTTTAATATATATCCTACCCAGACAAGTCCCGATACATAACCCCTACTTTTCTACAGTTTAAATTATATTTGTGCATTAAGTTTTAAGGAGTTGAATGAAACCCACTTGCATATATATATCTTTATCCCATGAGTCTTACTAGCATGACAGGATCGTGTAGATTGCTATGCTACAGGACTCCGGTAGAAGTCGAGTGATTGTCTGTTACTCGCGAGAGATACAAAATATATTACTGTATTATTATCACTTGAAAAATATAAATGGTGAAAATAAAAAATGGTGACCGGGCATGGATATGGTTTGGGTATTTGTGGGTGTAAGAGGTTGTGTCGCCGTGGACGCGGGGTATGGCTTGGTTACACTGTTTTCCCTGTCTGTGTCGGTTAAGAACCGATCGTTGCATAAGACGCTAGGCAAGTCACAGATTTATTATCCCGAGCACATACTTGTGTATGGGCGCTTGGAAGACTTGTTGCTCTCTTGTCTTGAGTTTCGGCTCTTTTCGGACCGACTGTCAAGGTTTTATTTTGGTGGAGGAGGTCATTGCACCGCACTGAGTCCGGGACTCAGGGGCGGGAGCTTGGAGTCCCAGTTTAGACGGAGACCTAGGACCCCAGGACAGGAGGGTGGTGGGTTGGTCCTTCTTGTGCCCGAGATACAAGTGGGGCGTGTGTTTTTAGGTACCCAGCTAGGGACATTGGTTCGTGAATCGCCGTCGAGTCGGTACGACTTGTCTTAACTCTAGCATCGTAGTAATAACTGAAAGATGAAAGATGAAAAGAAAAGGTGTGACAGAACCGCCCAATTTATACAAGATCAAGTATGGTTGTCCCCGCTAACACGTTGACACACCCATACTTTCACTCATATAAACCCGGTAGTCCGCCGAGTGTCCCGAAAGACCTCGGTAAATCAACATCACAACCAAGATCGCGTGATTAAGCAAATACACATCACATACATCGGGTTGCAGCGGAAATAATGTTACAAAGGGTTTAACAAATAATAGTACAAATTTGGGTTTCAAAACCGCTTAGTGAAAACAACATAGCTTTCAAATGATTACATTAATATAAGTTCCAAATATATTGCTAGCATAAGTGACATCATCCGATAAAAGCATATAGATGAGAAGTAAATATAGAATCACCGAGCCCACCGGTGGTTAGCCACCATCATCAACAGGTCGAGAACTTCACACGCAACAAGGTGGGATAAACCACGAGTACTGAATGTACTCGGCCAGACTTACCGTCGTAAACGTAAATAAAGTGACACCAAGGATTATGCAAGGCTTTCTTTAGTGGGCTATGACTTATTTGCGAAAAGCATAAGCTATCATGAAGAAACCATTTTAAGTACTTTGCATCATCTTTATTATGACCTATCCATCTAGGTAAGCACACTGTACTATAGCAATCACTTGATTAACCAATAACATCCGATTACCAATTTAGATTTAGCATATCCCATACCATCCAGATAACCATCATTGTTCCATAATAATTACTACGATGCAAGAACTTTCGAGTCAAGTGCTCACTATCCGGGAGCGATGGCGATTCGAATCGATTCCTAACCGGTGGTGATTTATTCCTTACACAAACCTCACTCACCCGCTAAAGTGAGATATTGATCACCGAGTCAACTTTTCGGTATCTCGAGTTTGCCAGAACCACATGTATCCGGGGCCGACCGACCGCACTTTGGTCTTATCATCCCGCCCCGTGTCCTACCACACACCGCTTCCTAAGACACGGGCGCTTGGCTGGGCAATCTATCGGCCCGAAAAATCTCCCAAACCAGCGGTCGGAAGGTACTTTATCCCGCCAGCTAAATGT